ATTGACTAGAACTTTCTTTCTGTGCTTCCTATGCAGCATTGCTGATGCTGCCTCCCATTTTATTTTGTTACTCCTTCACCATAAGCAGCACATGAGGCATTAAGGATACAGCTGCCCTATGTCTTCTATTCAGGATATTCCAAATGTGCTGACATCTGGTTGATCCATCTAGGTGGAGAAGCTCAAAATTGAAACAGATTAGTTTGCCTGAACTTTGTGCTACTCTTAACACAAAAAGGCTTGAGGCACAGCCAGAAGAGAAAATTCAACCTGTGTGACTTTAATGCAGCCCAGTCTTGCAGCTTAGTACCTTCTCCTTGCACTCTGCAGTAAGAGGGACATGGGGAATGTTTGACAGACTTAGTGAAACAAAGAAGTTAAAGAACAAGACAAATGTGGCACATCTTCATTAAGTGATCTGATACAGCCCCACTAGAGCACTTTACTGCTAGTCCTAGTCTCCTGAGTTGTGCACTTTACATTACAAGATTGCTCATGCTGATGGTGACTAAATAACTGAGCGCTCCCTTGGCAGCAGTAATAAGAAATACTATGTCTCCTTTTCCAAGTGTTGTTATAATAAGAAAATGTTATTTCCTATCAAACTTTATAGATTTTTATAACTTCTTATGAAAATTTTTCACACAACTGGACATAGGTTTCACTAAAAACTGACCCCAGTATTGAATTTACCAAAACTAAAGCCTTTCTCTTTTACTTGCAAGAAAGGTTTGGGTTTTAATTCCACTTTTGTTAATCATTAAAAAACAGTATTAAGCAACAATTTATGATGGACACTCCCAAGCTTTATTGTCTTGGTTATCTCCAGTAGTGGAGGTGCCACCTTCTCCCAAACGTGTTTGTTAGGAGAGGTATGGCAATAAACCCCAAAAGGACCTTAGCCACATTGAGAATAGCCCGTTTCTCTCTCCTTGAAATCCTCTGACCTACCAAATTGATATATGCCTTCTAGCAACAGGAGAAGTGGAGCCAGCTAACACTGCCTTCAGTGCTCAAGTTTTCTGGCTGTTTTCAGAAGAATCTGAAAATGATAATGAAAGCAGAAATTCTTGTGGGAAGATTTCTCATTGAGAAAAACAGCCTCTTTATCAAAATGGCTTTGGTGAAAACATTTCAAAGTACTTGCATGCAGTTCCAAGTGAAACTGTCTGTCATGGTTTCTGCTTCTTTCCGACTGCACCATGTGGCAGAGGTTAGCCTGGTGGCCACTTGTGGCTGCTGGGATTTTGGATCTGTGCAAACACAGACAGTACTGGATCTTCATTTCTGTGTAAAAATAGCCAGTAATTATGCACAGCAACCTGTTTCCCTCCTTTTATTCTGATTATTTCTGTGCACCGAATTACCTGAATCACAAAGTTGAGTCAGAGACTGCTTTTAATCATTTGCATGGAGCTAAAAAGTCTATGGCCTTCACCTCTGCTTGGGGACTCTGTTGCGTGAAATACTAGATTTAAGAACAGCAGCACTTACATGCTTTCTCTATTCAGTGCATATTGCTCATGGTACAAACAAAAAAGAACTTAGTATGTTTTCTCTGACATTATCATGATTTATTATGTTTTTACCTTATATCAGAACTGTCTGCAAGAAAGTTTTGTAATTTAGAAAAGAGTAGCAATTTGAGCAGGACAGACGTGCCTCCTACCTCTCTCTTTTATTTAGATTTTTTTCCATACTAATGTATTCTGTGGTCTTTATGGGTGAGACAAATACTCTGTGCTGGTGACAACAGCAAAATATGTGAGACTTTAGATGCACATGAAAGTGCATCTAAAAGTGCATCTGACGGTGAAAGCACTTGTTAGTGGGCAAGGAATGCTGCTGTATGTTTGACGTCCTGCTACCCGGACTCCATTGGTGGTTTACATGCTGTCACTGTATATAAAAATAAAAGAGCCTTGCAGGCAAGAAATAAGAAACTCCCAGTCCCAAATAAGCGCTATAAGCAGTAGGCTGTAGATTCATGTTTCTGCTTGTGCTCTCTTTTTGACTCACTAAATATATTTGGGTTTTTTTTTTTGGCTGGTGACACAGCTTCAAGGAGAAGCTCTCCCCTTGGTATCCTAATTGACATTTCAGTAGGCAGCAGGAGAGGAAAATGAACCTTATTTGTTTTTGTTTGCAGTGGGTGCCTTTATCACAGTAATCTATAAAAAGACTAATTATGTTCTATATGTGTATGTCTATCTACCATTCATATATGCATTTATGCAATCATCTTTGGGAAGATACCTGTGGCCACTGTGCTGTTTTGTCAGAGCCCAGTCCTGACAGATATATTCAGAGATATCAAGGCAGATATCAGAGAGATATACATGAAGCCAGACTTTCTATCTGATCCATTTTAGGCATGAGCTGGGTACCAAGCCTGTTAACATGGGTCTGATGGCAAAGTGCAGTGACTGCGTTTGTTGATGTTGTAGGACTACATCTTTCAGGCATTTAAGGTGTAGGCGGCCTACATGGCTCTGAAAATTGCTCCTAAGGACAAGTTTAAGAAGGGATACACACTATATATCTTCATTCATATCTGTGCTGCAGAATTCGTATCTGTGCTGCAGGTTTTGTCCCTCAGACATTTCTAGGTGTTTCAACATTATGTAAAATGTCTAAGGGCAGCCGTCTCTTGCAGCAAACCATTTGTGTGAAGTTAATTCCTTAAAAGCGACCCCATTCAAGTCCTGTGCTTTCTACACCAGCAAATTCTCATGTTCCTGGTGAATAAACCAGGAGGTGGCATTCCATTGTGGGTGCTAGTGAGCTGTTAGACTCCTCCATCATGTTAACCGAGACTAGTGGTCTTCCCAGGCAGTTCACCTATGCCCAGGGACCATTTTGAGTTAGTAGGTATGTGGTTTGCGCACAGCTGCCCTGTTTCAGAGCCAAGGACACTTTACTGGAGGCAGTCCTAAAACAGCTGCCTTCAGTGCTGGGAGTGTTATAGGACACACTCAAATGAATTGCTGCTGGTGAAGACCTAGGCTACAGGAGAGTTTCAATGATTCTCAGGGCAAAGGTGGCTAATAAGCAGATTCTAAACTAATTTGGCAACTCCATCCTCTGTTCACTTGCCAGGGGCTTCAGGAAGAAAGCCCTTTCACTGTCTCTGAAAAATGGTGGTATGAGAATTATGTAGGTGCCTTTCTGACCCTGCAGGATCTCCAGGCTCTGGCTCTGGTCATGGAAGTCATAAATGCTTTCCTGCATGATACAGGACAGGACTCTTGGTGTGTCATTGCTAATACCATAAACTGTGAGTTCTGCCTGTGCCAAAGAGTTTTTGAAATACTCTACAATCTTACAGATGGGATTTGAAGCACCCTTGTAATGTATTGTGTGATGTATCCTGTGGTTTAGGGAAGCTACAGGCAGAGGTATTCCCAAACGTGAGATCCATAAATTGCCTGAGGGAGCACATTAGAAAAAGCATGTCACTCTGAGGTGTCCTTGGTGAAGTCAAGGCTAGGCCATTATTGTGATGGTTGTGAGTCTGCTATAGGGTGAGGACATTATAAGAATGACATCAGGGTCACTATTGTTGTGTACCAATCAGGTTGCCCACATACTTCCAGGAAGGTGACAGTCACACCATTAGGTACTGAAACTCCATCTGAAGTCCATGTAAAATATATATTTTCCTGGATTTGTTCATTAATGTCTGTAGTTCTTTTCCATATCTAGGGCAGAAAACAGGTTGATACAGATAGACAATGAGTTAAAAGAAGAGAGGGCCGAGTGTGACAAAAGCAAGGAGATAGTTAATGCCTCATGAACTTCACTCAAATGGGAGTTGTGTTACCCCTTACCTACAGCATGAAAAGAATAATTTTGTTAAGATAGGATAATATCATTTTAACATTGCTGCATGATAATTTTCATTATATAAATGTGCCAGATGTTTATCTGATAAAAGTCAGTGTAACTTCCCTGATTGCAGAGGAGCTGCACTAAGTTGATGACTCAGTCTTTGTTCATGTAATTGGTTAGATTTATCATATTTATTAACCACTGCATAGAGAATGTGATTCATAGAACCATTTCACAACTGGCGTAAGGGGCAGTTTTTGTACACCAAGGTTGGATTCTGCTCTGAGCAGCACCCAGCCCTGCTTGTAGGTGAGAGTCGAATCTGCCCATTGCATATATCATGAAATGGTTTATGTGAAATACCCACATATGCTAATACTTCGGTTGGTATTTATAGGGCCATGCTTGTTCCATCTGATTCAGTTATAAATATTTTAAGTACATATTTCAGTAAATTTTAGGGTTCGTAACAATGGAGTAAAATCAAGTAGCTGTGTGATAAATTCTACCAAGCACAGAAATTCAGTTGTTTCTCAGTAGGATTCTATTTAATGCTCAAAAATGTTGTGCTACAGCTGGAGAAATACTGAACCAAGTTTAAACTTCAACAACTATGCTGCTGAGAATGTTGAATTTAGTATCTTTATAACAACAGACTCGATTTTCAAAAATTGGTAGCAAATTAATTGATACTGAATCTAAGAAAACACAGACATGGGGAAGGGAGGGAGCATGATGATACTTCAGTAACAACAGCAAGGTTCACATGGCTTTGTTCAGCCTAGGTGAGCTTTTGTTTAGGACAAATTTTGTATTTAAGTAAGTATTGACAAGACTTAGATTTTCCAGCATACAAGAATAAAATAAAACTTGTCTGGATTTGTAGAGGTATTTTTGTAATATATGAGTATTTTGCAAATATCTTCTTAAAGTTCTTTCCAATTGCTTTTTCATTAGAAGATCTATATGATCTTCTAGTAGCTTGATTAGTAGCTATCTTCAGATACCAGTGTACTGACGATGCTGACAAAGGCTACAGCCAGGAACCATAGTTTTAGAATTCTGATGTACTTTAGCCTGGGGAATCCTGGTGCAAATAACAAAATGTCAAGTGTTTTATCTCACCCATAATTAAAAAGGTGATGTTCTTTTTATGTGTTTTCTTACAGCTGGCAGCATTAGAGAGACAGATCTTTGACTTCCTTGGTTTCCAGTGGGCTCCTATCCTTGGCAATTTCCTACAAATAATAGTTGTCATTTTGGGTTTGTTTGGAACCATCCAGTTTAGGCCCCGATATATAGTCGTGGTAAGTCTCATTTATTACCTTTTTCTTTTTTCCAGTTATGTTTAAAACCTGTTATATTACAAAGCAGAATTTTATTGGTTTCAAAAGGTTTCGAAACACCATATGGTGTTTCTGTAGAAACTTCAGAGGGCACCATATCATTTTGCAAATTTAGGACTACTGAGTGGCATTTCTGAGATTTTGGAAGCTATCAAGAACTGGTAACCTAGAGAAAATGCTGCCAAAATCATGACCATGATACAAGTCCCTAGTAAGATTTTTTAAAGAATGAAATACCCAGATGGGTCAATTAGACCAAGAATAAATGAAGAAATGCAAATTGTTCTCTTTGCAATAGACAAGCAGAATCAATTGCCATTAAAAATAAAATAAAAATTAAAAATTTTAATGGTCAAGTTATATTTAGCTACATGTTCCTCTTAAACAGGGAGAAGCAGGGATTGTAGAAATTCCTTTGGTCATGTGGCCCATGGGTTCAAAAGAAATTTCCAGCTCACATTTAACTTTGCTGAGATGCATATTTATGGCCTTGACCCAAAATTGTTGTAAATTGTCTCTGATGCTTGTAGCTTGAAGCTTCTTAGATTTTTTTCCCGTATTTTCAACATAACCAAGAATAAAAAACTTTCAAAGCTGTGAAGGAAACTGTCAACAAAAAAATATCTGTTTCTTCCGTCTCATTCTCTTCTGAATGGGTGAATATTATGTCTTTACTTGGCAGAGTCTGTATGTGGAGCATTTCATTTGTGCTGTCGGTAATGGATTTTAAGATGCAAAAGTTGTTTTTTTTTTTTCCCTCATGGAAAGGTAAAATAAATGTCTATTGGGGAAAACACATTAAACAAATACTTAAAAAGCTTCTTCTTTTCTAGTCAAGCCTGGAATCCTGTAATTCTTTGTCGTGTCTTAAAAGAAAAAGTGAACAAAAAGTGCAACCAAGGTTCCTTATACTTGCATTAGCTAAGCTTCACAAGCAGACTATAAATAATTGAAAATGGATTGATGTAAATAATAGCACTTTTATCTATTACCTGTGGCTGGAGAACTAGGCAGCAGTGTATATACATCCATATATTGATGAATCACTTTTCTGCTTCATGTTCTCCATTTTATACATAAGAAATAGGAAGCAAGTGAGGGTAAACATCTGTAAAATTGCATAGCAATTTTATTTTATTAAAGAGTGAAATACCTAGATGGGTCAATTAGACCAAGAATAAATGAAAAGAAATACAAGCATAGCCATTGTAGATTCGATTCTGAGTAAAGAAATGAGTTCTGCTTAATAGTTTGGGTGATATAAAATTTGGACTGAAAGCTTTCTACCAAAAAATGCCCTACCATCTAAGAGCTGCCACGCAATGGCTGAGCCATGAAGCATCTCTGTTGAATACAATTGTCATTCCAAGTAGGTAAACCCAGTAGCTCATGTTTTCTTATCTATGGTCCTTCAGATACAGTACTATAAGGAGGTGATTCTGGAATAAATATGGAATTTCACTTGCTCATAGATAAAATTCTGAGTCCTCAGAGCTTAAGAAACACAGAGAGAGAGAGAGGAAGAGACAGCATTAACTCCAAGTGTCCTAATTAGTTTAAATCCATCAATTATTTCCAATGGCTTTTTTGTATTAATTAGGTCAGTTTTTGGGAACAATTTGTCCTGTCACTAAGCGGGTGTGCTATTTTCAGTACTTGAATATTTTGTGGCTGAATTAAATCAGTGCAGAGTTCCCAGGGGACATAAACGTTCATAGCCAATTCCTAATTTTCCCATATTGGCTCATTTAAAACTTACACAAACATTTGCAAAGAAATAAAACCAGCTAAATTTCAGTTTTAACTATGCTGTAACACGCCTGTCATGCAGCTCCAGAGCTCTGCTATGATCCATTTCCCTGTGCATGCTTTTCCTTTCTTAATAGGACTTGCTATTACCAGCAAGATTTTTCAGGCTATTCAAACTGATTAAAGATGTTGACAGGATACTTGTTAAAGCTGAGGGTTTAACCCCGCTTCTACTTCTGATATGGGACTTCAAAAGCCTTCTGAACTATGAGTCATATAGCTAAAATTGCACAAACCTGGCCCAAAGCTGAACATAAATTTATTAATGAACAGTGGGAGAAGAAAATAATACACTTAAACAGGGGGAATATTAGTTGGAAGTCTGCTTTACTTGCCTTAATTTATTCCATTAAATAATATGATACATAGGCAACGTGTACACCTGAAAAGCCAAGAGGTATAAAAAGCAAAAGCAGAAGAAAGGCTATACATTATACTTTAGACAGTATTCAAGCAAATGTTACTATAGACACTCAAAACCCATGTGAAATATTTAGGCATCCAAAATTACTCCTTGAATATCCTACCTGATAAGTCCTGAGTTGTTACTTTTCCAGTATATGCTGATTTATGCCAGTTTCCATGTCATCTTTCACAAATATGACTAAGTAGGGCTCTGCAAGTACTGATGCCTCTGAGGCACAGCCAGGTATTGCAGGGGGATGATTTGATGACTCAGCAGTTGCTGCCTTTCCCTTGAAGTATCCCCGAGCCAACATTCATTTCTCCTAATGCCAAGACACTGTCAGAGGAGGCGCTGCACTTCAGATTCAATATACACTTGAGGTAGTTTATTCATTAATGCTAAACTTACCCATGATCCTTGTAGTATTTGCACTTAGAAATTTCCCTTCTCTTACCTTTCAGTTTGAGAAACCATCCTTTGCATTTTTCTTTAACCCTTTCTTTTTGTAACATTGTGTCCAATAATAACAATGATTTAACTCTAGGAATGGTTGTATTTCACTGGTACGTGAACAATATCTCTGCATTGATTTCAATATGACCTGTAGAGTCAAAAAAGGCTTAGAAATATCATTATTGTAGAGAGGCAGAGGCATTAAGAAAGGGATCTGAAAGGAACCTATAGGGTTGCGCAGTAATTTAACAGACATTTAACCTGTAAAGCTTAGGGTGCACTCACTCCAAATAATATCTAAATGCTTCCTTAAACCACATAGTACACAATCCTTAGTGCAAAAATACAAAAGCAAGAACGTACACAGAGCATCATGGGGAGAAAGCAGCAAAGTTTATCACCAGTGTCTAGGTCCTTTGAGGAGAAGGAATCTACTGAATGAAAATATCTAGGTAATTATTTTTAAGTAGTGCATCATATGGGATATAAAATAAAAAATAATTAGAAAAAAAAACCAAAACAAAACAAAAAAAACCCAAAACAAAACAAAAAAAAGCCAGACAAAACCAACCAACCAACCGAAAACAAAACCCCCAAACAACCAACCCTTCATATTGATTTGACCTATGTGGTGAATTCCTTCTTCATGCTAGATACAGTGAGGGTTGTGATGTTGAGCATGAGACCAGCTGAGCCAGCAGTGACTGAATGTGGCTGGCCATACAGTTGGGGAAGGAATCACTGTCTGGGGAGAGGGGATTGAACAGACATACATATAATGTTCAGAAAGTATTACAGTTTTTTCAGGGAGAAACTCTCAAATTAAGAAAAGCTGCTTTTAAAGCCCTCCTCTGCAATCTTTACATGATCCTTTTGTATATTTGCAGTTTTGAACTGCATGGATGCATACCAATTTTTTGCAGTTGCAATAGAAAGGACAGACATTGGGGGTTTTCTGGTGATTACAGCTATAGAATAGAAACTTGATTTGCAGAAAACAGAAGACATGGGAAAAATAAGTCATTTGACAGCAAGAATAAAAGATTGCTTTTGTGAAGTCTGTGCCAGGTAGCTGAATTTTATCTTTCAGTCACTGAAACCTTTTTTTGACACAAAGTGAGTCACTGCAACCAAGCTTCTCACGTGCTTGTTTTCCCCTTGCATTCTGGGTTCTTGTCTTGAGACCTTGTGGCCTGACTTGCAGAAGTGCTGAATGCTCAGCCACAGGCAGCTGAACACTGAGCTTATAAAGTGCTTTATAACCCCAAGTGCTCTGAAAATGAACTCTTAAGAATCTTAGGTTGGATGCCTATAGTGTATGAATATTTCTGAATGTAATCTCTGCATGTATCAAAACATCATTTGCATTCTGAGAGCTGTATCAGTCCTTTATAACATAGAGTAAATTAGTTAATGTTTGTGCAGCTCTCACACATTCCAGCAATGAGCATCTTAGAAAACCTCCTGAGAAAATTAACATTCTGTCCTTAGAGCAGGGTCTGAGCAACAAAGAGAATTATTGAGTTAGCTGTTCATAAAATGTATTAAGGGAGGTAAGGTCTTCTAAAACAAAAATATACCTATGGTGATTTAATTGATGCTTGCGTTGTATTGCACAGCCGCAAAATAGAAAAATGAAATCAGAATTGCAACATTTCCTAATTTTGCTTTCTTGCTTTTGCTGTCTTAGCCTTTCTTTAATGTAGTCTTCCTTAAGTGCCTGTAACACTATACAAAGAAAAAAATCTACTACTTACATGTCCAAAACCATGTGTTTGGGCAATAACTCACTTACTTTAAAAAACTATATAGTAGTAACTACTGAATATATAATTATTATGTACGTAAAGTAAAGGGGAACTTAAATTCATGTTACTATAGTTCAGTGAGTGTGTAGGAAGAGCTTTTCCATGCACAGCAGCTGACTGTCAAGGGGCACATGTGCTTTGCTCCTGCAGTTCTCTTCCCGTAATCCTCACAGTGAATAAGGAACCAAACAGGTCCTGACTGTGTAAACCAGCCTAGCTTGGCCTGGCAAAGCACATTCAGGTAGTTTTTACCTGCATGATTCAGAGTTGTCATTGGTCCCCATGGGACAGGGTAAGGCCATTAACAGATATGGTTTTGCCTGGCAGATCAAGTAGGTTTCCTGTTGTTGTGATGACATATTCTGTTAATGGACAGATAAGAATTTCTTTCTTAAAAAGGGGAATTCTCCTGAATATTCTGAAATCTGCTTTTTACACGCAACTGGGCTTGTATTAAGTGTCCATTAATTTTGAATGCTCATCAC